CACTGACCTCGGCCCGATTTAAATAAGTTAAAAGTTTGATGGTTACGCGTAGATCGACAGTAGCCGGAAGTGTTTAAATAAACCATCGCGAACGCCTTACACCCGCACGATTTATATTTAGAAGTAAACATCACAAGTGTTGCGATATTTCGAATCTTGACTATCTTGAGAGATAATTTAATCGAGCCAAGCGAAAAGTATCGATTAAACCGTGAAGCGATCGTATCCTGGATCGTTGCTGTTGTATCGTGACAGCCAACGAGTTAAGTTTCGGAGTGACACGTCGGATGCTCCGGAACTAGAGAACTAGGAGAATTAATAGAATGCGACGTTGCGTTGCAGAATTTTAACGTGTCACGTGTGAATAAGTTTGCGGAAGATCGAACGGTTTACTTATGATAAAATAAGCCACTTTATTTACGTTTATCTTGTATTAAAGTGTCCATGGAATTATTAATGCGTTCAATGGAAAGATAGAAAGTTCCATAGAGAATTTACCAAGGTGTATTTTAGTCGACGGACTGCTTACGAAGCGAAAGAATTTGCGCGATTTATTTTCGGCGCCGTAAAAAGGCGCCGCTTCATTTTGATCCCTCTAGGCATCTGTCACGGTCAGCTCTCTCGGTGGTGCGGTTAATTTTCGAAATTTATGAAAAGCCATAGGAACATTCTAGGATGTTTCAAGTTTAATCCTTGAACGCGCAAACTTTTGTCCCCCAGGAACGAGCGGTTTATTCGGCTTAATAGATTCGTCGTCAAAGTAAAAACAGACCCATATGATACGGCACTTCAATAAAGCTAATTAATATCTTAATTATCACGAAGTTATCATTCTTTCCTATCTATTTACATTCATTTCTTACAGTTACTAAGTTCGTTAGTTACTTTAAGGTGTCCTGCATAAATTCCTGGTTTCCGCGGACAAAAATGGTCAGTTTTTAACATCCCTTCCTTACAACGGAACAAATAACTTCTGCCCCCTTTTATTACGATAAAAATGTAAATTACCTCGGTTAGAACAAAGAGATTACCCTAGAAAGTTAGGAGACACTTGGAAAGGAAAAATAGAACAGGATGATTTTCTGCAACGTGGAGAGAAAATATGTGCGTTAAGGGGTTAAGGTTCCTCTTTCAAGGGAGTAGAGTGTAGAGGAATGCGTCGAGCGTCGTTTATAGCTTTCAACCGAGCGGACGCCCGAAACAGAGCACTCAAAGTTCGAAGGAATTCAAGGAGAACCGTTCGACGTGTTTCGAATTCCGTTCGAAATGTATATAGTATATAGTATATAGTATATACATACATATTATCGTTCATTCGAATAATAAGCTCGTCGAGGATTTCTTTATTCGAAGAAAAATATTTGGGGAAGAAAACGTAAATACAATGTCGACTCACTTGGCGATCCATCATCGCTCCTGTAGGTATCGCGGTGATCTTTACATTGTTTGTTTTGCGGTAAACGTCAGCTGAAACGAGCCTACCTCTGAAAGCAACACTTTCTGCGAAACGAAAGCACATAAAGAGGCCCCGACGCTTTCTCTTCCTCTGAACATCATCGCGACGTTTTCTTTTCTCTCGCTAATTGCGCTACAAATTTTCTCACGAACCAAACTCAAAGTACTCGAATCTTACCCGGCACGCTTTCAGCAAAGGGATCAAAGGATTTCACGAAACGGAGGGGAATAATCGGGATTGAAAATTTGAAACTTTTAAAGGCATCGAAGGAAGATCGAGAAACTTGTTCGAAACTTGCGAGGAACGTATTAACTGTGCACGTTTATAGCTATAAATATTATCACGCGAAACTTTCTTTATATCTACGTACACTTTTAACAATGAGAATCGTGAATATTCTTATTCATGCCACATATTAGGGTGGCGTAAGAAATGACCGTTTAAGGTGAACCAAGTTTGAATAACGAAATGGACGAGCCACATGGGGGCCAGAACATACAGCCTCGATGAAATTACCATAGAGAGTGATCATACAGGGAGACCTTTGTCTCTCGGCAACCCCTAGAAGAGGATAAGCCTGAAAGAGCGCTCTCGGTGATAGTAATAGAACATTTGATAATTTCTTGAATATTCTTCGAGTACAATTTAATCCTCAGAGAATTCAAATCACTTTGATTGTATCTACGTGTTGGAATAAAAAAAATGTACAGAAATTTTGTCTGAAGTTTAAGATATGTAATGATGTTGTTAAATGCGAATAAACGCCTTATGAATTCTATCGACTTTTATTCTCGAATAATAGTCAAAGTGATTCCTAGCCGATCATTAATAAAAGATAGCTTCGATGTTAAAAATCAGTTGGTCAGTCAGTAGTGGGAGGAGTCGTTTGAAATAATTACAGACTCACAGATGAAATATGGAACGCTTCGGTTTCGGTTTCGGTAACATCGACAGGCACACCTGGACATCGGTCGAAGAAAATTATTTCAAAATGATTATTCGAGTGATAAATTATCTTCGCGTACTAGGGAACAGTTTAATCTGCAAACAACAAAGTATCCGAAGTGTTATATCCCGTTTCTGTTTCAAATAATTTATTTACGATCTCCAATACGAATTCGAAGACCCTTCTTCAGCCGAAAGGATCTGTCATATTTTAAAAGTCGAGCGTTCGAAGTTAAAATCTATCGTCGTTCATATTTCAGGCGGGTAATCGAAAAAGCCCCGTCTCGAATTCCACGATTTTGAGCGTACGATTGATTTTAACGTCGGCCTTGGATTTTCAATAAGCTCCGGGAACAAGGGAAGCGCTGCGCCGATTCCAAAGCAGCGAGAACAACCGTCGAATCGGGAGCGTAGGTGGTGACAGTTGGAATTTTATTGGAAAACCGAACTTCTTCTGGGGAAGGATAGCAACAGGTGTTGGTAAGGGAAAGTAACATTACGCGAGAATGAAATTTCGCTTTAACTAAAGCGTGACCGGAGAGGAGAGGGTAAGATTAGAAAGAGATAAAGCACACTGTCGACACGAGTTTAATAAAACTGAAAGTAATATCGTGGAATTCGCGTGAACGATCGGCTGATGTTCTTAAAAGACCTACCTCTAAATGATTTCTTTCGATTTATCATGAAGTAAGAAGCGAAGAAAATTTTATAAGATACCTTCGGTCTTCGGGTCATTTCCGAATTTCACTCCTGTGGTACTAATTTCTTCTGTTTCATTTTCATAAATACACATCAGAAGTTACTTAAGAAATTAACTTCGTTTCGTACACGTTCAGTTTAACTGGGATCTAAGTCGTGCAACGGAATGCCATAGAAAATACTCGAATGCGATCGATGTACGAAAACAATGCCCAGGAAATTACGTGACGTTCAAGGGTCTGTTGTAGACAGTAGATAAAGTAGATGGTAATAAAAATTCGTAAATTAATTCCATATTGCGCAGGAGGCATGCGCGTCGCAGACGTAGCTGGCAACTCGTATTTTCATGTTATTCCACTCGTCATACTTCTAGCTCGTAAATTACTTTAACGGCCATTTTTAGATGGCCGCGAATTCGATTGGCAAAAGATGGATACTGGATCCAGCGAAAAGAGAGGGTAGAGAAAAGGATCGAGTGGAGGGACACGAAAATAGATGACTCGGCGGAAGCGTGGTTTCCCAACGCGGGAGATATAAAAATAACGGGGCTACCCTTCGGCCAACCGGCATTATTTACATAACGATTAACGATTAACGATACCTACGTCCCAGAATTTCTTCTTCCCTAAAATCTTAATTGATTTCGATTGGACGCTTGAATTCTATTCCGAGACGTAATTACATTCATCCTCATGGGTGGTTCACCGCTCGATCGACGATAATCACCGCGAATATCTACTCCCACGAGTTGACGAGCTTCGATCGGTTCTGAAGAATTCACGATGAAAGGAAGATCGATCGAAACGTTAAGGAAAATTACGTAATAGCGGACTCTCGTTTACACGCGTCTGTAGTTATGGCTCCGGCGAACAAACTAGCTTCGGTCGTTCGTCTTTCATCGGCACGTTACGCCAGTCGAACACGAAAATGCCGTGCGGGATGAAAAATCAAAAACGACCGACAGAACGAACAGATCGATTATCGCGTCGATTTTAATCTTTCCTCGCCATCGGAGCATCGGTCATTTTTCCTTCCCTCGACAGGGGCGCGAAACGGCGCTGTGCAGCCCGGTGAACGATGCATCATCGCGTATTCATTTGCTGTGACTTAAACTTAGAATCGTCGCGATGCTGTAAAGTTTCTTACCCACGGAGAAAATAGAAACGATATAATCTTGGCTGCACACTACGCACGTGCTTCGGAACCGGTGTTAACGCACACCGTGGTATGCCATTGATAACTCGCTGGTCCTTCTTGGCATCCGTCTCCTGTACCACGCTCGATCGCGTTAAGGGTAGCTCGAGGTTCGTTAGGAAAAATTAACGCTTCAATAACCGAACGTATCCTTTCTCTGGACATTCTTTTCAAGGTTCTACGACTTACGCTCTTACAGCGCCACTCAGGCTAGTGTGGGCCAGCGAGGGCGAGGACGTCGAACTGCCATGCGACGTCACTCCTCCAACCCCAACAGACTCCGTGAACATGGTGCTCTGGTTTAAAGATTCTGCCGGGATACCGTTGTACAGGTATGTATAGACATCATAGAATTCAATTAAAGTACTATGCAGAGATGAGAGGTTGACGAGCGGAAGGAATGCGGCTACGATTAGTCGTAGTCGGTAATTCACACCTCGGGCACATTATTGGCCGATGCGGTCGCATACTAATTTCGACGCCTGATAAAGAAAGAAAATGAGATTTCGCGAGGGCCAGCGCCCCTCTACCGTCCCGCTAGTCATCTTTCTATCTCTGCACAGTACTGTCCACCAATCGCAAGAAGTCCCATGAGAATAACGCAATCTGATTGGTCGCGCTCCACCTGTGCCATCCCGCGAGACTTCTTGTCATCGATGGACAGTACCTAGCATCAATCCTGTCCTGACGTAGTTCGCACTTTAGGTACCTTAAAATTCAAATAACGATATTTATTTTTCACTGTGAAAAAATAATGAAAGTACCACCGTATTTAATATTTACACATTCTATCACATACTATACATATTTTAACTGCGGGAGCATGTTAACGCCGAAGCGGAAATCCACGTTGTTCCGCAAGTATCTCGGAAATAGGATTTTTCAGTTGGCAGGAAAAGCAAAGGCGAAGAGAAAACCTGAGCGTAACGTTTCAGAGGCCACCGTTGGTTTATCTTATTTTCCATCCCGAGGTGAACGCGTACATTTTCCGTGTCCATTTTGCGTGCTGAACTTCCTGTTTACGGTGCTTTTCACGAGGACCGATTCGTTGAGAAGAATGTCCGCCACTCCAACCCAGCGAATGTCGGTCACGCTTAATATTCCTGGATGCCATTGTTCTGACTGAGATCCCACCTCGAAATATCTCGAATCGAGCTACGAAATAGGAACCCTCTTTACGGGCACAGCTTCTAATCTATCGTTCGCCATAAAACGATTCGCGGTCGATTACCGAAAACTCGTCGTTTTCCTTGCATTTGAATGATCGACAAAGGCTTTTCTTTAGCAGCCTCGTCCAAAATTGGCCGATGTTCATTTATTTCTCGCGTAGGTCACGTTCCAAACGAAAGACGAATTGAGGTAGATCGCGTAACGTAAATAAACGAGAAAAAGAAGAATCGAGCTGTACTCGAGTTGGCAATCGATCGTCAGAATTGAAATTCTTAATACCAAAAATAGAACTGCCTATCGATGTTTCGAGCTGACAAACACTCGTAAACTGTGTATAGGTTTCGGATTCGTTTATTTACGAATGGGAGCAAGTTTGCCCGTAAAATAAAACGTTCTCCGTTCCAGTTAGCTGTTAATCGCTGGACATAGCTTAATAGGGTGGAAATTTTACTCGAAAATGAATAGAGCCTTAGAATCTTAGAGAGAGGGAAAAACGAGAAGCTTTTTAGGATTTTAGGACTAGGGCTGCTAACCGTCAAAGGGCACTCGTAAAAAAATTATATCTACATAGAACAGAGGAAATGAATGACACGCGAGACGAACACGAAACAGGTGGCTACGAAAGGTTTACGTTTACGACGTGAGTCGGATTTTCTTTTCGTACCCATAACGTTTTCTTCGTTAGCGATAGAAAAGCATGGGAATCCTCTGGGACGGAAGATCGGCCACGATCCGTTCGATGTTTACATTTTCTGTAGCCAAAGTAAAAAGAAATTTATTTTTGTGATATTCCGGAATTCGGCTGGTTTTGAAAGAGAATAAAAGGAAGTAATATTTTTCTCGAAAATTAAACTGACCAAACGAGCTTACTAGTTTTCAAAGTTCTTCTCGGAATTAGCGGTTAGAGGAACACTTTCCACGAGCAAAGTGCGACTGGCGCCGCAATTTGGCGGAAATCGTGCGCGAATGTCCGCATCTTTTTCCGTCGTCTTGCTGCGATTTTCTCTTGGACGTTGCGTAACGGTCAAACGTTCGCGGGGAATCTAAATTCGCTGACTGTGCGGCTGCCAACTATCCGTTTTTCTCTCCGCGAATAGACACCCGTGCTAGAGATAGTCATCGAAACTGGCCAACTGGGGATCCACCGGTGTTTACCAGCATCTTTTTTTCCCCGGAAACGTCAACGTAGCTGGTTCGCTCTTTCGATCGTCGATCGGGCCAAGAATTTCAACCTCCGTACGAATCGACACAGGAAATGTAACCCGGTTACCTCGATTCGTTGATCTTGAGATCGTCTTGGAAAGAAACTATAGTCGTTGCGATGGATGAAAGAAATAGAGAAGAACGAATGACGCGTTAGTTCAGGATCTGCTAGCTGATTTATCGATTAAAATCAATGAAAGAATAATAGACGAACACCGAAGGTACAGTCGGAAAATGCTGGTTCGTGTGCGCAGTTTGGATGCCAGAAGCGGAGATTTACAGTCAGCCATTCACTGGGCGGTCAGCGACGACCTCGGCAAAAGGACATACTTCCAGATCGGCGATGGGCATCGAGCTAAGCTAAAAGTTACCAAAGTCACCTACAAGGACCAAGGAATCTTTAGGTGCAGAGTGGATTTCATCAATTCGCCGACCAGAAATTTTCGTGTGAATCTCACGCTTGTCGGTGAGTACCTTTCCTATCGAACGGCGAAACGGCATTGTTCGATCTGTTCGATTCGATCGATTCGAATTGGTTTCTTTGTTTCTTTTTACTTTTTGCGCAGAGGAGCCGTCAAAACCTGTGATATACGACGCGCAGGGACGAGAAGTAACAGGAGTGGGCGGGCCTTTTTTGGAAGGCTACAATCTCGCTTTGACGTGTCAGGTGGCTGGAGGTAAATTTTCTCTCCCTCTTACAAGGAAAGCTAGTAACCTATTTTTCTCATCGTCGCGTGATCCGCCCTACGAGGAATCGACAAATTTCTTTTAATCATCCAATCGTTCACCTCAGGAAGACCAAAGCCCATGGTAACGTGGTGGAAGGACGGCAAATTATTGGACGGTGTCGTGGATACGATGTCCATCGAATCGCCCAGTAAATTCACGGTGAACCACCTGTTCATCGACAAAGTGACGCGTTCGTTATGGGGCACGAAGTTGGAGTGCAGAGCTCAATCACCGCCTATGGCATCCCCGATCGTTCGCGAAGTACCTCTAGACATTTATCGTGAGTATCTTGTTATGGCCTCCATTCGTTCGGCGAAATGTGCGAAAGAAACGTGTGACGGTAATCGCGAGCGTAACATCTGGCGGGAATAAAATAGAACGAAGATTCGCGCGCGTTCTTCAAGGTCGTTCCTTTGAATCCTAACACGCGCTGAAGACGAGTAACAAGTTACTCCTCCGCTGGTCCACGCGTTCTTTTCCTCGTCATTGATTTTGTACACGCGTAGGCGTACGCGTATCTACGATCTTTCTGGCAAAAAATTGTTAAAAAGGACGAGTCCCTTAAGCAGGTTCGTCGCGGCAAAAATAACGAATAGAGGGACAGCCACGTGCTCGCCATCCGAACCGCGCGTATTTTTACTTTCAACGACAATTCCACGAAATACGACCGTCAAAGGGGTTAAGGAGGTCCGCGCGAAATCGTTGGAATTCATCTCGCTTCCGCCGCGGGTCACTCGTTCTGACTATATTTAAATTTCTTTCTTCTTCGTCGACGTCTAAAACGCAGGACATTCGAATGAATAAGAAGGATGTTTCTTGCCGCGCAGGATGTACGGTACCGCACCGGAATAGAGTGTTACTTCTAAATAAAGAAACTAGGAAGAATTTCTATTAGAATAATTTTCATTCGACATTCGACGTAATTAAATGCGTTCGCGTTATCGGCCGACCCGATTCTTTACGACGTTCTTAATCCTTTCGCTGCCACGTGTTTGAACAAAAAACGAAACTGGCTGAGAGCAAGAATCAGAACTAGATGAGTTTTTTCTCCGGACGAGAAGCACACTTCCTAGGATACCACGTGTGGTCCCGAATTACTTCTCACCCTCTTATTTGAATTAATTAACCGTCCTCGTAATTCGTCGGAGGGTAATTAGACAGACAACCGATTGGCAGAAGAAAATATGATTCGTTTCGCAGTGAAACCGGCGGTGGTGAAGATCATTTTGAGCGAGGATCAGATTTACGCTGGCAGACCGATCGCGGCCCGTTGCGAAACTTGGGGAAGCTCTCCGGCGGCCAGGATCGTTTGGAGGCTAGCTGGACAGGTGATCGGCGAACCAAACGTGTCCACTACACAGAGAAGCAATTCCACGGTCAGCAAGCTGGCACTGGCTTTGGGGAAGCACGACGACGGGAAGGAATTAACGTGCAGAGCCGAGAATCCCAGGTTTCCCGGCGGAGTACTCGAACAAACCAAAGTACTGAGCGTCGCTTGTGAGTCCTTTTCCCTGATCGTCCCGCGATAAATCGTCTCGAAACGCGGCTGAAGGATATCCAACTCGATCCTACATCGTCTTCGTTCGCTTTCTGCATTTAGACGCGCCCATCGTAGATGTTCACCTAGCTACCGGATACGTGTTGGACACTTTAAGAGAGGAGGACGATCTCAAGTTGGTTTGCAACGTGGAAAGTAACCCGCCACCGAGCAGGGTCATCTGGTACTTCAACGTAAGAAATTTTTCGATATTCTTCTTTCTTCGCCGACACCATTATGACGGTACGAAGAAAGTATACATACGATGTTCCAGGATACTCGATTGGAACACGACGTGGCTGGGGGAACGCTGATAGCCACGAACACGTTAACTTTAAGGATACTGACTCTGGCCCATGCGGGCGTCTATTCGTGCGCTGCGATCAATTCTGTGGGCGAGGGTCACAGTCCGCCGATCTTCATTCGTATGAAGTGTAAGTATGCAAATTAATACTCCATAGGTGTTATTTTGAATCGACTTCGAAAAGGAGGAGGAATTCTTTTAATTATCAAGTTCGCCAAACCGCGAATCGTTTATTCGGGTATTTTTAATTTTGCGCCGATTTTTAATTAAACCGCGAAACGTTTTATGGCGGACGGTAAATTAGAAGCTGTGCCCGTAAAGAGGGTTTCTATTTCGTAGCTCGATTCGAGATATTTCGAGTCGCGATCTCAGTCAGAACAATGGCACCCAGGAATATTAAGCGTGACCAACATTCGCTGGGTTGGAGTAGTCGTGGCGGACATAAAATGCATTTAGTATACTATTTAACGATTATATCTAGGAATCATAGAATCGTAGAGAAATGAAAATTCTTTTCCCGACAGATGCACCAAGATGCAAGGTGGGTTACGAGCGTCGCGAGATCACAGCCGGTCGGCGTGAAACGGTGTCGTTACGCTGCGAGGTTGACGCGGTCCCAACGGACGCGGTGAGATTCTCTTGGACGTACAACGGGACACGGGGCGACGTGTTGCCGATGCCAAATTCGAGAGTACAGAATAACGGGCTGGTTAGCGTTCTGGAGTACACCCCTTCCGCTGACACCGATTTCGGTACTCTAGCTTGCTGGGCGAGCAACAGTGTCGGCAGACAAAGAACGCCCTGTATATTCAACATCGTGCCAGGCAGTACGTGTATGCCCTTCGCTACTAGAATAGATTCGATTGAAAGACTGACAGGAAAGACAGAAAAAAAAAAAAAAACAACAGAAATGTTTAAAATATCATACCTCGCGCGATAGATTGTTTTTTAACGAGTTTTATAAATTTTCTATAACGTTCAGTTTGAGTTTAACTCGTTATTTCAATTATGAAGATAAAAAGAATTTAATGGTAAACGATTGAAAAAATGAAAGACACCGCATGTGTGCCACCTTTTCACGCGACAGTGAAATCTCTTTCTCTCCCGTATGTTACGAAAATAGCTAGCTACCGTTTTCTGACAGAGTAAACGTTACGATTCCCAGAGCCACCGCAACCGCCGCTCGACTGTTCCCTGCACAACGAGACCAGTTCGCTGGAAGTGAATTGTGTCCCTGGCGCGGATGGCGGTTCCCCGCAGTACTTTTTACTGGAAGTTCGAGGCGTCCCGAAGAGCCCTGGCCTGGTTCAGGTGAATTCACCGACCCTCCATGCACCCCAGAGCGATCAGGGAACGGTCGGAGAGGTGCCGGCTATATATCAGGAGAGGAATCCGTCGCCAAATTTTCAGCTACACGGACTCGAACCGGGATTCGATTACACTTTGTACGTTTACGCGGTGAACGGACGTGGAAGAAGCGAGCCAGCGTTGTTGGAACACGTCAGGGTCGTGGAACCGATAGGCGGAAAGATCGAAAGGAACGGTCTGTTTCTTGAAGACCTGAAGAAGGCGCTACCCTCGGCTACCTCGGAGAACATGATCATCGTGATCGCCTTAACAGGTACAGGTAATCGATGTTACCTCCCTCTGTTTTTCTTTATTCTGTATGTAGGATACGAGTTAAGAATGTCTGGGTCGACTGATAATTGGGTCGAGTGAGGTGCGAAAAAAGAATGTTTAGATCGAGTGACAGTTCTTCTGAATCAAGATGCATGCGTGATGAGAGTGATATCGGGATCGAAAGTTGGCATGTGGAATCGGTAATCGAATGTGACCGTGTGTAGGTATGAAAGACGAGAGCGAAGACTGAAGGATTGTAAGGGCGAGTATCAAAAAGAATAGTATTCCCTACATATATTCTATAGGGTGTCTCAAGAAAAATGTACGACACAACCCTCGATCAAAATCTGCCTTTTCTTTTGTCAATTTGACGAACTACCAGTATTTAATTTGGAATCAACAAACTGTAGAATAAACGATAATAACGTGTCCTTACCGAGCGTGGTAAGAAAGAAGATTTTTGATTGAAGGTGCGGTTGCTTTGATCCTGGTCGGTATCGGAGTGATCATCGGGCTGGCTATCTGCAGGAGAAGGACCAGCACTCTCGTCAAAGACGGTCCGGATGATTTCACAACCCCCAGCTACGTTTCAGCTCAAAGGATCGAGCCAAGGATCAGATACTCTGGTGATAGCAGACGTTCTCAAAGGGCGAGCCTGTACGTCGAGGAAAATCGAAACGGTAAAGCGCTCTTTTAGCTGACAATATATTTAACGCGCTGACTGACCGCTGGGTCAGCTGTGATCGGCATTCTCAATTTGTTGCTCCGCGTTTTAGGTACCGGTCACCGATCATTCGAAATGCTATCCATTTATTAAATAGTTTTAAACACTTTGAGAAATTACTGTTGAAAAGATTTACTTCAAATACATTTTTCGTTTCCAGAGCCGGATCTTCTACAGAGGGTAGAAATCGACTTGCACGAATAAGTTTCACCGCTACTTCGCTCTGTAAATTTAGAAGTGATACTTTTGATATTCGTCCTTTTGTACTATACATCGTGTAGATATTAAGCCGGGCAAAAATCCGTAATCCGG